AGCTGTTACAGCTATGAACAAGTATGTGCCTCTGGAGGTACGAATCTGTCCTGACTAGCTTGTGGGAAGCAGATGGAGTTTGCCAGAGGGGGAGTCACTACTGTTACTCTGACTTTATATGGCTTATTTAACAGCTACTTAGAATTTGCTTCGCTGCCATATTTTTCCAACTATGTCTCTGTTCTATAACCTCACTTGTTGTCATTGAAAAGCAGCTGGCTAGCAAGTTGCTGGCAAAATTCAGAAATAGATATGCTGTAAATACATGGTGCTTACATGAGCACACACATTACCCCTTCCACACACACACATACTGGGTGGATCCCCTTTTTGCCACTTCTTGGTAATAGTTTTCTGTTTTGTCCAAAGTTGTCAGTGATTGTGTTGAAATAAATATCAGTGCAATATGTCACATAACCAGCCTGAGTGCCTTCCTGTCTGCAAGTGTGTAAAGGAAATTACTTGTCTGCACACACTTTTACCAGCACATTATGTGCCTCAGGGTGCCATGATCCAAGTCTGGGAAGCTGATCTTAGCAACACAGTGTTGTTTGCCCTGTGTAAGTGACTGAAAGACAAAGATGTGGGGGTAGGGCAAGGGAGACTTTCCATGCAAGGATGTTGTTGGTAGGGGGCCTTGATTCACACCAGAAGACAGGAAGAGTCACAATACAATTCGGGGACAACATTTTTCCTTTGCCAGGAAGTTGGTATCTAGGTCACAAATGACTTTTGGTCAGCTGTTGCCCATCTTGAGATCAAAATTGCTATCTTCTGGAGCAGAAGAGTATCCTTTCAGATTTGCTTATTCCAGAGTTCTGTGCTGCCTGGCCAGCCCAGTGATTGCATTACATAAGAGATCTAGTGGATTTTTTAAAATTGTTTATGAATCCTCCAATGTTAAGAATAACCCCTGAGAGGAAGGAGCATAAGAGCCAGCTCTTGGACAGTTTACTTTATTTGAATGACAGCTCCCAGAACCTGTTGGCCAGCATAACCCAAGTATCTTTTCCTACCTGTGACCAAGGCCATTGCTGAGTTTGGACCAAAACACCCTGGAGAAATAATACAGTTTGAGACCACTTTTAACTGCCCTGGCTCAATGCTAGGGAGTCCTGGGAACTTTAGTTTTCTGTGAGACATTTAGGCTTCTCTGTCAGAGCTCTAGGGCCACAAAAAACTACAATTCCCAGGATTCCCTAGTACTGAGCCAGGCCAGTTAAAGCGATCTCAAACTGGATTATTTCTGCAGTGTGTTTTGGACCTTTGTTGCTTAAACTAGTGCTAAGATTGCTTCTTGTAATTTGGCTGTCTGGCTCCGAAGCAAGTTGTCATGTGGTTGCAGTCAGGCAGTTAATGAGTGAAAGCTTTTCTTTATACAAGTTAGCTTAGTCTAGACACTTGTATGTTATTAACTGTCTCATTACTGACAAGAATCCATTAGCTATATTTGGATGTAACACTAAATGGAGAGAGAGCAACTTCTTCAGGTTGCAGGGTCCAAACTAGAAGTCCTTTGGAGGCACAGCCTTTCACTACTGGTGCTAGTGATGCTGAAATTCAGTGGGCACCTACATTGGTAGGAGAGTGGTCTGTAAGACCCCAGACCAGAATATCTCACAAAAATGAGGTTGGAGAATGGAGGACATAGGGAATAGAAGAGAACTTTTTCCTGCTGTGGAAAAGGATTGGCAATGTGGCAGCAGTTCCAGTTTTTTCTGAGCAAGAGCGCACTGCTGATTTTGCTTGCAGTGGAAAGCATAGGCACAAAAGCAGCTTGCAGAGCTCCAAGCAACCCACAAGCATTGTCTTCCTCTGCATTAAACCATGGTTTAGTGTTGTGAGTGAGGTGTAATGAGTCTCAGATTCCTAGCCTACCCCTGGTTGGCTGTCAGGAAGATATCAGAAACTTCTACTTCTGCTTTAGATTTACAGTGGGCCCTCCACATTCACTGGTCACACAGCATCCCTATGAAAGTGGAAAAAATACAAATAAAAAGTACAATTTATTTTCCGTGAGAGAACACCTCTCTAGGAATTTCTGTCCTCCAGCACAAATTTATGACCAGCATCTGCCAGATGTTAACCATAGAACTGTGCTAGAGGACATACAAGTGCCAATACAAATGTTCTTTCTAGGAATCTTTAGGTCATCCAGTGCGACTTCTGGTGAATGCTGACCATAAAATCATGCTGGAAGACCGGTCCTAGAGATTCCTAGAGAGAACATATTAATCAAATCCACAAATACTCAAATCTGCAAAAATCAAAGCTTCAAATGTGGAGGGCCAACTCTACTTCAAACAGAGATGTGATCTAAACCTGGAATACCCCTAGTAAATCTTAACTGATTAGTTCTGACAAGCCAGTTTCATGAACTGTAGTTACAGTTTGATTTGTTTCAACCAACATTAATTGGAATTTACTACAGTTTGTCCATTTTTGGACAACATGACAAGCTGTGATTAAACTAAAGTGGAAGTAAAAGCTACTGAAGAACCCTCCTTATGGGAGGGACCCCAGTGGGGGAGTGGACTTGAGGCTGAGTTTTGCTGTGGCTCATTTTTATAATTCTGAGCTATGGTTTAGCATTGTATCTAAACCACAAGTTAGAAAGATTATGTTTTTGGGACTGTAAATTGCAGATCTCCCAACCAGCAGGTCCAACCAGCACTGATCCAAACAGGACTACTATTAAGAGGTTTGAGATATCTATGAATATAGTTAGATATTAACTGAGTCATACCCAGACTACTACTGATCAGAGAAATCTGAGTCCTACAATGCAAAACAAAATACAGTTAGTGTTAGTCAGAGTAATAGCAAAAGCAGGATTCATCTCTACACTGGGGTGTACAACTTGGCACAGACTATCAAAAATGCCAAGGAAAAGTAGTAGTAGTGTTGGTGGTATAGGTATGCATATTAGTAACATAGTGGTTTTTAAAATGAAAAGGGGGAAATCCTTGTAAAGAACCAGGATGTCTTGGTCTGGGACATTGTTTTATTTTTAGCACAGTTTTTTCCTCATTGGAGACATGGTTCTATCAATTAGTCCTCATAGAATTGCTTAGTCAAGCTTTTCTTAACCCAGAGTCCTCCAGATGGGTACTACAGTTCCCATAAGTCCTAACCAAAAGGCTGAGTGGTCTGGGATGGTGGGATTTGTAGTTCAAAACACCTGGAGGACCCATCAGGTTGGGCTGCAAGGCTGTTAGTGCTTCTCTATCTTTATGTGGAGAGAAATTCCTGTTGCTTTTCTGAGATTCTTTACTCTCCATATGCCTCCACATGGTGATCAGAGATATAGCAGTTGGAAGGGAGAGATCGTTGGTAAGTCAACTTCTGCTTATGGCTTTTTCTCAGTCCCACTACAATCACTGGCACATTTGGTGAGGACACTTGAAAAGGTTTTCTTGGTGGCTGCTCCCAGACTGTGGAATTCCCTTTAGGTTGTCCCCCATCTCTGGTCTTTTTCCAGCTTACACAAGCCTTTGATTGCTACCTGTCTATTGCAGAAGTTTTTTAAAAAAAAAATTGGGGTGTGTTGTATCCGTATTTGTATTTTTATCATATTTTAACAGCCTTTTTAAAATGTTTGAATTAATTTATTTATGTGAGTGTCTGTTTAACTGTTTCTAATTTGTGTATAATCCATTGTTTTAAGTGTATTTAGTTTTAACTCACATTGTGACCCCTCCTCAGATCCCATATTGGGAGAAAGGCAGGATAGGAATTAAGACAGGAATTTTTCAGTTTTTCTGTTGTTTCCTTAGCAATCATACTCCCCTCTCCCTCCCCTTCCCCCGCGGAAAAAGTAATGAGTAACCTAACAAGTCACACCCCAAGCATTATAACAGGTAACAGCAACAAATTATCTTAACAACACTACAAAAAGTAATGGAAACAAACTCATTTTTTTAAAAAAAAAAGTAACTTCCAAGCTACTGGCATACATAGCCACCTGAAAGATCTGTGTGCAAGGTGTTTGTGTCTTGTTTTGCAAAACCCAACTACAGTCCCCAAGTTTCTTTTAATTCTTCTCTCCAAAGCTAGCAAGTAGGATGCCAACCAGCTTATTATTCTCCTTTCTTTCTCTTCTCCCACCTCCTTCTCAAATTGTATCTGGTAGGAGGCCTGTGAACACAGTTTAGCTGAGATGGAAACTTCCCATCAGCAAGTCATGGCAGAGATGCGACGGCATCACCAGCGAGAGATGGAACGGTTGCAGTTGGAAAAAGAACGACTTCTGTCTGAAGAGGCAGCTGCCACTGCTGCAGGTAGAAACTACTGTGTGTGTCCTTGTGTGGGTGTGAAGCATTTTCCTTTCCTTGCACACTTATTTTTTAAAAGTTAAATGCTGTACTGAAACCAGTGTCTTCCGGCTAGGTAATCTTATTGACCTGAGCTAGTGTGGTGTAGTGATTGAGTGGTAGACAACATGGGGAGATCTGGATTCAAATTCCACACTGATTTTGGGGGCAAGCAAGTTCTCTCAGCCTAACCCTACTTCACAGGGTTGCTTGAAGATGGCAAAGACAGGCCTCCCTCTGAACATACTTTTATACACACATTATTAGTATTACTTTTGTTATAAAAATCACTGTCATATATGATTTGGTATGTCTGTGCAGTGTATCAGCAGCAGTGAATGTCTGGCCCTCCAGATATGTATGGATTTCAGCTCCCATCAACTCTGACTTAATCATGCTGGCTAGGGTTCATGAGAGTTGTACAGGAAAATCTGTACTACATATTTCCCACCCAAGTATACATGTGTGTATATTCACACAACATATGACTATATGGACTATATGATATATAAAGATATATGCACTTATGACATATATTCTTTATTGTTGTATGCCTTCAAGTTACTCCTGTCTTATGGCAACCCTATCACAGGGTTTTCTTGGCAAGATTTATTCAGAGGAGGTTTGCCTTTGCTTTCCTTTGAAACAGAGAGTGTGACTTGTCCAAGGTCACCCAGTGGGTTTCCATGGCCAAGCAGGGATTTGAACCTTGGTCCCTAGAGTCATAGTCCAGTGCTCAAACCACTACACCAAGCAGGCTCATATAGAACAGACATAATTGGACTTGGTTCACCAGACCGTAGAACTTAAGAAGCTGCCATATCTAAACCACTGGCCCATTTAGACTGTTGTTACCTGTTCTCACTGGCAGCAACTATCCAGGGCTTCACATAGAAGGCCTTTCTTGTCTACCTGTAACCTGATCCTTTGACCTGGAGATGCCATGAATTAAAGTTGGGATCATGTGTATCAAGGCATGTGAGGTCTGCTAAATTGTGTCCTCCATCAAGGAACCCTAGGATCTCTGATAGTTTGGAAGCAGTAAAAGGGGCTGTACACTCCAGTTTAGCAAATGTCATAGGCCTCTTTTTCATCTTTCCCCCTCTTCTCCTCCTTTCATCCTATTTTTGTTTTAGCAATTGAAGCACTGAAGAAGGCACATAGAGACGAACTGAACAAAGAGCTGGGCAGAACACGCAGTTTCCAGAAGGGAGGTTCAGATGCTGATATACTTCAGCAGCAGCATCAGTAAGCAACCATTCAAAATGGCCCTTTCCCTCCTTTCAGATGTTGAAATTGACCCTTGAATTGAGAAGGATGGGATTGTTGTGTGTTCCCAAGTGAAGGCTTCAGTACCATTGTGCTGGAGCAGTGAGGGATGTTGCCATGTTTATTGTTGTGTATGCCTATCTGAGGATTGAAATTTCCTGGGGCCTCCTTTGTGTCCCACCAGCGGGAGCAACACACTCCATGAGTACATGTGGCATCCTAGTTGTGGAATGCTATATTCTTGGAAGCTCAGTTGGCCCCAACATTTGGCTTCGTTTTGGCACCAAGTTAAAACTTGGCTTTTTATTAAAACTGTTGGGGCATGAAAATTCATCCAAATCTCTGCATGAGCATGGTTTTAGACTGTTTAAACTTATTAAATTATTCAGTTTTTAAAAATGGATCAGTACGTCTTTAGAAGGTTCAAATTATTTGTACTGTTTTAAATTTTAATTTGTTCATAACTAAGACACACAAATATCTTATCTCATAGGTGGGATATAAATACCTCAGTTAACAAAGCCTCTAACAAAGAAGTTCCTTTTACAAAGTCTTTTTAGAATCACCCAGACCCTCCTTTTGCTCTGTCTAGCTGGAAGTCTTCTAACAGCACCAACACTGGAAAGTTGTGGAAGGAAAGCTGGAAAAACTCAGAATATTGGTGCTGGGTTGCAGCAGTATCTCTTCAGTAAACAGCGCAATAAAGCTTGAGCTGAGGGGAAATGAGATTCTGCTCTCACTGATCCTACTATAGCTGTGTGTGCTTGCTTATGACAGGCAAAGTAAACAGCAGTAACCTCCAGAATCCCTTAACTTGAACATGCATGGATAGTAAAACAGAGGGAAAAGGAGAAAGCAGATAAGCCTGCCTTACCAACTGCACCTTGGATTTTTTTTAACTAGATGTATATGTTTGGCTACCTTTGAAAGAAGCTTTCAGGTGGTCTCTGGAAGGGTCAACATACATTTGTTTATTTTTGCAGAGCTTCCCTAACCTAATTACACACATGAAATGAGATACATTGTTAGTTTTGGCTTAAAGGTTTGCTGAAAGGCATTGAACTGCTCTTCATTTTTGTAGTGCAGGAACCTATCCCTATTTTTTCCATGTTATTTCTATCTCTGGTGCCACATTTTCTCTTGAAGAAGGAATGACCAGGAACACATCTACTTCATTGACTGAACTATGCCTGTATTTTAATAAATAAATAAATAAATAAATAAATAAATAAGTCTCCAGTTATCTTAAGCCAAAGGGCTGTGGAAATAGATATGGTGTTTGCTATCACTAGAAGCCTCAGTCCTCCTGGTCACGCTGGTCAGGAGAGTCATGAAGCCTTTCACACTGCACAGGTACAGCACTATAATTCTATTTTAACTGCCATGGGTCCATCCTATAGAATCTTGGGATTTGCAGTTTAGGGAGGAGTGGTGTTTAGAATTCCCATACATAGAACTCTTAAGGCCTTACCAGACTACAAAACCCTGGATTCCATTGAATGCAATCATGGCAGTTGAATTGGAATTGTGGTGCTATAATTGTGTAGCGTGATAGGGGCCCTGAACACTTCCATCATTTGTCCAAAACCTTCTGTCCTTTGTCCAAGACAGTTTCTGTAGCCCACAAGCTATACCAGCAGAGAGGATTTTCTTGGGTATTAAAAAAAAAATGGTGGTGCAAAATGGTGGAGGTAAACAGTGTCTGCATCAGGAACTGGAATAAATGAGATCTCTTGCTAACAAATTCTGACCTCTGCTGCAGGTCTGATGTAGATTCGCTGAAGCGAGAACTGCAGGTCCTTTCAGAGCAGTATTCCCAGAAGTGCCTGGAAATTGGGGACCTAGTGCAGAAGGCAGAAGAGCAGGAACAAATGCTGCAGCACTGCCAACAGGAGGGGAAAGAGCTGCTGCGGCAAAACCAGGCAAGTGGCTCATTATTACTCCAAGGAGAGGAAATAAAGAGGGAAACGAACAGATGCTTTGAGGTACCCATTGATGCAAGCCAGTTGAACAATTTCCATCCATCTCGTGATAATAAGAAATTGAGCCCAAACTTGCTTTTTCACTCCCACCCCCACCCATTTCCAGTTCTTATTCCTGGCAACATTTTAAAGGCAATTCATTGTTACTTATTGCAGCACAGAATAAGGTAAGTCATGTTGCCTGGTTTTACATTCTTTTTTGAACATTAAAGTAATTTTAAAGATTACTAGAAATTTTACTTGTACAGTAAAGTGACACTATTTCCACACATTATGGTCCAAAACACACTGTAGAAATAATCCAGTTTGAGACCTCTTTAACTGCCCTGACTCAGTGCTAGCAAATTCTGGGAGCTGTAGTTTTGTGAGACATTTAGCCTTCTCTGTCAGAGAGCTCTGGTGCCACAATGAATTACAATTCCCAGGATTCCCTAGCACTGAGCCAGGGCAGTTAAAGAGGTCTCAAACTGGATTATTTCTGCAATGTGTTTGAACCTATGTTAGTTTGAAATGTGATTCTTTCGTGACCTTGTTATGAAGAATAACTTTTAATGGTGTTTACTTTCTAGCTCTGATTATAATAAATAAAGATGGTGAAACAGAAAATATTGATGAGGCAATAGTGTGTAGGAAGAAGGTCTTTATGTGGAGGAAGGAGATGAGAACTATTGTGAATATGTGTGAATTCTTTTATAGTGTTAAGCCCATCAAAAACTGTTCATGATCATTGCCTGGCTTACTGTCAAGAAGCAGTTGCTGTGTTATAATCCTGAAAGTTTTTGACCAAAAAAACACACACAACATGACAGATGTCATGTTTTGAATATATAAGATTCTGAAGTAAAAAATGGGCACAAAAACAGTGTGAGCCAAATTAAAGCTGAAGACAGAATGCGAAAGGCTTGGGATGATGGACTTTACAAGATGTTAGCGTGTTCCCTGCTGGATTTAAACAAGTCAATGTTCATTTGTTGCCCTTTCCCCAGGAGTTACAGAGGCGACTGTCAGAGGAGATAGGGCAATTGCGGGCTTTCATTGCAGCCCAGGCCTCAAGCACTTCACACAACAATGAGAGGAGCTCTTGTGAACTAGAGGTGAGAAATGATTGCTTTTTCTAAACACTGATTGATTGCTGAATATACTTAAGAATCTCTTAAGAATCCCAAGCCGACAAGACCTCTAACCATGTTGGCTAGGGGGTACTGGGAATTATGTTCCAAAAAGTAACTTTTCCAAATTCTGAGGAAGGTAATGTTCTTAGAGAGCATATAGGTATGATGTGTGCATAATCATGTGTATAAATCCACAGAAGGTGGATTTTAAGGGTAGGAGAGTTGTTAAACAACAAGAAGACTTTGATGTCGGATATCACCTCTGTTTGTAACCAGACATATTGGGAGTTGTTTTTTTTTCCTTACGTGTTTGTTAAGATATCTATAACTCACTTTATGTCACACATTTTTCAGGGCAGTATACAGAAAAAAAATCAATGTAGAACAATTTAAAACATGGAAGAATAATTTAAAACAATTCCTGTTTTCTTGTGATGTGTTTATATTGAAAACTTCCTTTTTAGATCACAATTAACAGTTAGCTTACACCAGGGGTAGGCAACCTTTCCCCTTTAAGGGCCAAAGGACTTCAGCTCCCAGAATCCCAGGAGCTATTGGCCAACATGGGACTATTGGCCAACATGGCTGAGGCTTCTGGGAGCTGAATTCCCTCGGCCCTTAAAGGGGAAAGATTGCCTACCCCTGGCTTACACATTGTAGGGGGTTCTTGGAGTTCTAACACTGCTCCTCGCCCCAAATGTAACTTTCCTCGAATTCTGGTGCTGGATATGAAATGATCTATGAAAGTTTGTTGTTTTTCAACATAGGAACAATAAATTGATTGGAAAGGAGAAAGTAAGAAGGCTGAAAAAGGAGATGTTCATGGAACATACTTGGAGTGATTCTATAACTGAAGAGACATTCGAGGAAAAAAAGAGTAATTTGACCTGGCTTTCTGACTTAGACTATGGTGTAGGGTTGGAGAACCTTGGGTTTGTAAGCTGGATACAGTTAGAAGCAAGGAACAGAACTCTGCTTTCAGGCCCAGAGATGCAGTTTCACTTAGGCTTAACATCTGAGTAGCCATGCATGAAACTGTGTTCTGATATGCATGAAGGAGAAACATCCAGTGTGGTAACAATTACATTATAGGTTCTGTCTACTGTGCTTTAGCCCCACCCTTAACCCTGTCCTCTACTGGAGGAATGTTGCCCCAAGACCCTTGCAAAATTCGAATTTGGCTCTGATGCAAATAGCACTACTTATGACCTTGCTAAGTTGCCTTTTCCCTTCCCCTTTAAACAAAACTAATGGTTAATGAACATAGAAAGGACTGCACAGCGTTTATACACTAAACGTGCTTGAGGAAAATTGAGACGTATGTTCACAGAGTAAGGAAGTGTTACTTCCAGTATAGTGCAACCCATGGACCAGGCCCCTGAGCCTCACTTTTGTG